CATACCCTTTAATCATTAAGTTGTCTTGCATTCAGTGCTCCTTTCCTTAAATATCACCTATCTATCTTTATTTGCAGATTCTTAAAATGATATTATATTATTTGTACTTATGTTTCATTAAGTTATCGTTTATAGGCATACATTTTGTGTGTGTGCGTGCGTGCGTGTGTGTGTGTGTGTGTGTGTTTTGGCATACAACTTTCATCTTTTGTTATCATTTATACTTCCTTTTGCCATCTTCATTGTGTTTTTTTGGTGGGTTACTACTTTCATTTTTGACTTGTTCCTTTCTCTCTCTTTTTTCCCCAGAGCTTTTACTCTGCACAATTCTTTCAACATAGAATATGGAATTTAATATTTACCTGTAATATTAGTTTGCTTTTATCTTCTTACTGTTAAAACATAGATAATAAATCATAAAAACATTTTCATTAATGACTCATCTAGCCTCCCTCAATGCAGATGAGGTCTGATTGTGATCATGCTGAACTTGCAACCATTAACTCTGCAAAAAAAATTGCATAAAGTTACATAACATACCCTCTTTTCAATTCAGATCAAACCCATAGGTAGCCTGCTTTTCCAGCTTTACCTTGTTTGTTGCTGATAATAACTCCTGAGTCATCATAAATTCATTTCTCCTCTTGCTGATTCTCACCCCATGGCTTTATTGTTTTGTGTTCTGAGTATTAAAATAATATTCAATAAGTGTAAAAAATAAGTCCAGGACACCCATAAAATATAAAACCACACACAAACAAGGGTTATTCACAATACTATCTCCTAGGGAGAACCATGCTTAGTATTTTTGTATGCTTCATTTCAAATACATTTTCCCTAAGACCATTATAAAATTTCTAAAGGCCCAGTGCATGACATTCATGCACTGGGGGGAGGTGGGTTCCCTCAGCCTGGCCTGTGCCCTTTCCCAGTCCTTGAGCCCAGCTTCTGGCAGAGCAGTGCTCCCCCTGTGGGAGTGCACTTACCACCAGGGGGCAGCTCCTGCATTGAGTGTCTACCTGGTGGTCAGTGAGCATCATAGTGACCAGTCATTCTGCAATTTGGTTGATTTGCATATTGGGGTTTTATTATATAGGATGATAATTATTATTTTTACAAAAAGGTGCCCAATAGTTATGCTGTTTTATAATTTTATTTTCCCCTGGCACTATGTTTTGGATATCTTTACATGTGGAAATATATATTCATCATCTTTTTTACTCTGCATACTGTCTCACTGTCTGTATTAGCCATATTTTTATAATCTTTTCTAGAGGCCCAGTGCTAGTAGCTCACTTCTGCTTGCCTCAGCTGACTGCCGCACCTTCCTTCACCAGTAGCTCAGGTCTGCCCCGCCCCTCCCTCCGCATGAGCAGCTGTGCCTTTGGTCCAGTCAGGGTTATGGCGTCAAGGCCATGGGCCTTTTATTAATAATAGAGATTCTACTGGAGGGTAGCCATGTGCTTTCTTTTTCTTTCCTCATCTTTTTTCACCTCCTTGCCTCCTTTTCATTCTTCTCTACCTCTTTTTATTTTTATTTTCTTTATACTTTCTTTCTCCTCCTTCCATTTCTCTTCCTTCTCCTCCCCCTACCTCATGCCACTCTTTCTCTTTTAGATCTTCCTCATCCTTGCTTCAACTTTGTTCTGCAATAAGCCCACTTGTTTTCTTCATTTTGATTTCTTTGTAGTTTTTCTTTCTTTCACTTTTTGCTTCTTCCTCCATATTTATGTTGGGTTTCTACTTAGTCTCTCCTCTACTTTCATAATTTCGGTCCATGATATTCTTTCCCTCCTTATTCTGATTATTGTATAATTTGCCTTGACTTTCATTTCCATTAGTAACTAAGGAATATTAAGAGCTTTGCTGATGATTACGCATTAATTCTCACCAGAACCAAGCTCAAATTCAGTTCTGAATTTCAGATCTCTGTTTTTTTTTGTTTTGTTTTGTTTTTTTCTTCTTCATTAAATTGAGTTGTCTTATCATGGCTGAGGATAAACATAGCCTTACATTTAGTGCACAAGTTAAAGAAGCAAGCAAGCAAACAATAACAACCACTAACAGAAATAAAGAAGAAAGAGAAAGAGAATAGGCACTAACTTAATTACAAAGACTGGAATTTAGTGTTTTCTCTGCTCAGTAACAGTCATAGGCAAATTAAAAAAGACTTTTTGTGAATGTTTGCCTACTTTTGTTTATTCCAAAGCTATTAAAAATGTATAACTGTTAACCTACCTAACAGTGCCATTGGAGACCTGAGCTTATAGAGCTAAAGGGGAGTATAATAAATAGATTCAATAATAACTGTACTTAGAGGTAAAATTATCATGTCTAATATATTAATTTAATTTCTTTTTCAGAATTAAAGGAGTTTGTATACAGAGATTGTATATATTATGTAATATCAGGCATTCAAGACTTGGTCTTGTATTCTTTTCCCTAAACCATTATAAGTAAATAAAGAAACTAAAAACTGTAATTGAAAAATAAAAAAGAAAAAGAAATAACATTTTAAAAATCATAAATATTTGATTAGGTAAACCAAGCTGGAAGATCAAAACAACTGTTCTTAGTAACTGTATCTTGGCAGTAAGTTTTTGCAAAGCCAAGGTGTCTTCCTCTATGGTTTTTCTTATGACCACTTTGTTTTTCTGTTGGCAGTAATTGCTTCCCAGACTAGGGCATTTCTTCCAAGCCATGTACTAAATCATAATTGTGTATATTTTTGTGCATTTAATATATAAATCAGTGGTTAAATTAATTAAACCAGGAGGCCATTTGACGGAGATGGCTTTAATGCTATGGTGGCCTCTGGAAACGAACTCAAATCTAAGCCTATAAATGCCTGAAAGGAACAAAATAAAAACCCAAGGACAATCAGTCCCAAACAGCCAATTGGGGTGAAAGCCACAGCCAATCAACAGTTTCCTTGCTTTGCTTTTCCTGGTCTCCTGTCAGTAGAGTTCCTCGCCACTTTCTGCTTGGCAGGGCCATATTTAAATGGATTTTTGCTGGAAAAAAACAAAAACAAAAACAAAAACAAAAAACAAACAAACAAACAAACACCTCTTTTTAACATTTTTAATTTGCTTCAGTTTGTCTTTTAACACTATAAAGTAATAAGATTATATTTTAAGACCAGATGAAAATTTTTATGCTGAGGAGATTTTGCTTTTTTTAAATCAAAGGAGACTGAGCCCTTATCCCAACACTGCTGCAGTGTTTAGAAGAGGTGTCTGGGAGGAGGGGGTGTTCTCCGAGGAACTGCCTCCAGATCCTATTACAACCAAGAAGTCCCTGCTCCTCTGCCCACCAGGCCTTTGGAGTAGTGAAATAGTTACTAAAATAAAATAAATCCCTCTTACTTCCTTTGTATCCCTGGTTAAGCTCACTAACCTTTCCATGCTTTAGTTTCCTCAGCTATAAAATGATGATAGCAGTTTTGCTTAATTCATAGAATTGTTCTAAAGGAATTAAATATCTAAGTGTTTAGAACAGTACCTGACACATAATAAAAAACTATAGGGCTTTGCTATGACTATTTCCAATGCTGTTATGACTACTACTAATACTACTAATATTGTAGTATTAGTAGTAGTCATAATAGTACTACTAATACTACTATTACTGGTTCTAACAATCTTCTCCCTCCTTCAAATAAATGTTAAAAATTTATAGTCTCTAAATGTCTGGTTGGGTCTACAAACAAAAATCATCCCACTAAGATGAATATTTGTCACGAAGGAAACAGTGAAAAGATGTATAGCAAGATCTGAAGTCAATTCTGAAAACACAGACCCCAAAGTGTTTTGCGTAATGAAGTGATGTTGGTTTAAATGTAAAATCTCTCATATTTTTGCTGTGAAGGAAGTCTCTCTGAGCCGGATGTACAATGCACCTTTTAAAGAGTCAGTCAGCTACTTTACCTTGTGTTTCTCCAAGGTAAATACCCTTGCTGAAGATAGAAACTGAAGTTTATGCTTCCATGCATTTCCTGTAGCATCCAACACACTGTTTTCCAAATTGCAGATGTTCAATAGATATGTTGATTCGCTGTTGAAGTAAGAGTTGAGGGGAGGAGAATTAGGGATAAAATGTTCTCGAGTTAATTGTAAATTGTTTCCCTACTTAAAAATGTATTTGTATGTCATCATCTTTTTTTTTTTTTGTCATCACAATTTCTGGAAAATGCTTTAGTTGGCATTTGACATTTGGTTTTATACATTTTTGTAAATTTCATGAAAATTTAAATTCTTAAAAAGGGTTCACTGTAAGATTTTCTATTTGTATAATAATTTCAAAATGGAAAGAAGTGTAAGTGTAAAGGCAAGCCTGTTTCAATCACACTTTGTGAAACGTGTTAAGGGAAAAGTTGAAATTAGAGCTGGTAGGACCACGTTGGTATAGCCTAGACACCCAGCATGGCATCTAGAAGACTGTGGAAATTTAATAAGTCATGGAAAAATAAATGAATCATCTAATACATTCTCCTCATTTTAAAGTTGAAGAAACTGAGGCCCAGGTAACTCACTCACAGTCACATCGTGGTGTAGGAGTGACTAGAATAAACATTTTTTGCGGCCATCAAGCTTTAAACATGGATTTCACATTTTAATAGTAACATGCAAAAGACTTTAAATATGTTTTTTTTATTTCAAAGTATGTGAATAAATCAAATTTGTAGATTAAAAACTGTTACATTTCAGGAAGGCAATGGTAGGAGTTTGTTCATGTCAATCAAAGGATTGTTTTAAGGGGAAAGTAAAATAAAATGTCTTTTCAGTGGTTGTTCAAGGCCTGCCAATCTATTCATTTCCATTTTCCCTACATGTTTTCTTTTCTCTGCTACAAATGATGAGGGGTTCTTATCCATATGAAAGACTTTCTGTTGTAACCTTTTGCCTCCCTCAAGACATAACACGTCCCCCACTTCTCAATATTTCTTACACTTTCAAGAAATGTCTTTTTGGTGGATTGATTTTTCTGCCGTTTTCCAGGATGAGAAAAAGGAGGCAAGCTCATGCACCTGCTTGAAGGGGCCCAAACTGTCAGAGATAGGGACGATTGCCTGGATGGTGACGCTCAGTGATGCCCTCCACAATTTCATTGACGGCTTGGCGATCGGGGCTTCCTGCACCTTGTCCCTTTTCCAGGGACTCAGCACCTCGATAGCAATCCTGTGTGAGGAATTTCCTCACGAGCTAGGTAAGTGCTCTGCCCACACTGTCAGAACCAGTTACTTCCTGGTTTCTCAGTGGAATGAGACATTCTCAGTGGAATGAGACATTTCACATGATACACTTAAATACCCTGCCGATGGCATCAACGTAAAGAAGATATTATCTTTCATCTCATCCCCAAATTGAAAAAAACTCTTGATAGGTACTTCTTCTTCTTCTCCTAGGGGACTTTGTGATCCTACTCAATGCAGGAATGAGCACTCGACAAGCCTTGTTATTCAATTTCCTCTCTGCGTGTTCCTGTTATGTGGGGCTGGCTTTTGGCATCTTGGTGGGCAACAACTTCGCTCCAAATATTATATTCGCACTTGCCGGAGGCATGTTCCTGTATATTTCTCTGGCAGACATGGTAAGATTTTTTATCCTGCTTTAGTTTAAAATTTATGAATAAACATCTAGGTTACAATTTGACAAAGGGCGAAAGGAAATTCTTTTTGTTGTAATTTAAGATATTCAAAGATAACTCTTTGAATAGTAATTTGAAAGGGATTCTCATTGATTTTTTAAAAAAAATATATTTTTATTGATTTTAGAGAGGAAGAGAGAGGGAGAGGGAGATAAAAACATCAATGATGAGAGAGAATCATTGATTGGCTATTTCTTGCATGCCTCACACCAGGGATTGAGTCCACAACGGGGGCATGTGCCCTGAGTGGAATCGAACTGTGACCTCCTGGTTCATAGGTCGATGTATAAGCATTGAGCCATGTTGGCAGGTTGATTCTTTAAGTTATGATCTTATTGATAGAAGAGAACATGAATTATTTTTTGCTGAAGTAGAGATATTTTCCCCTAGGTTTTTGTCTTGGGTGGATAAACCTTATATTCTATTAGTGTATGTCCCTTAGGGTTTTTTTCCTTCTCTGTTGTGAGGATCTCACATTGGAAGAGGACTAACTGGTTTTGTAAATATAATTTTGTTATTTCAAAATTCTAAACAGTGAGAGCCTTTTGGGTGAAATTTTGGTAAATTAAAATTAGACAACATGTACTTGGATCAGTCTATATTTATATCTATATTTATACCTATGACTGTGTCTTGTGTATTTATGTGTGTGTGTGTGTGTGTTTGTGTGTGTGTGTAAGAGAGAGAATATAAATAGTCCTGTGCATTTTTATATGAATCATGTACAGCTTTTTAGAAAATGAAGAGGTGCTAAATATATGCAAATCAAGGATTATTTCCTTTGCATTTAGAACTGAATGTTTTAAATTGCAGACATAATTTAATAATTTAAGTTCCTTCATCTGCATTCTTAGCTCCAAATGATCACTGCCAAGCTTTGTTGGTTGTGCTGTTCAGACCCTTAAAAGAGTAAGGATTCCATCCTCTAGAGCCCTCACTGCCTTTATATTTTTCTTCACAGAATTAGTGTTTCCAGCTCTATTTATGCTAGGTCATCACTTCTTCCTCTGATATAAGAACAGACTCTATTAGAGTGTTTAGTGTGAAGAAATAATACTGATAAATGATGCTGTATATACTTACAGCAGTTTCATTCTTTCCAGAATGGTTCCGCCCATTGTGTTCTCGTACGAGTTTTCTTAAATCAGGCACATGATTGACTGCAGGGACCTCTTGGATGCTGGTACAATGCACCATTGCACACACAGCAAGCATTTTGGAATGTGTTCTTAGGAGTGGCATTCGCTGATCTCCACATGGAGCCTTTTCAGTAGAAGCTACCTGCTGAGAAAGAGTAGATCTTAAGTACAGAACTTAGGGATTTAATTGCTTTCACTGTAATGAGAACGTTATAGTCTTCAATCTTAGAGCAGTGCATAATTTATTTAAAAACCTTGTAATTTTGTGAGGGGCAGAGCAAGCAAAAGTACAGAAATTGAAAAGGACAGTAATTAAATGTATAGTGATAACTAAAAAAAAACGATTTATTCAGCCACCAGGCCTGGAAATTGATAAGCCACTGGGCATGCTGGTGTGGACAAGAGGCACTGTCCCCTCACTCATGGGGCTTTCTGTTTACAAATGAGGAGAACCTCAAGTTCAACAAAGAAACAAAAACCACACCCATGACTAAGGGGTTACAAATAAAAAATCTGTGAAATAGAAGGTAAAGCAATATATATGAAATTATGAGAGATGTAAGTTAGAAGGGGCTAAGAGAAGCCTTTCCAAGAAAGTATGATTTAAGTTGAAACCTGAAGGAAAACCGGAGGTGGAAAAGGTCAGTAAAAATTTTAGCAGGTGTGAAGATCTGAGGAAGGAAAGAGGCTCCATGTATTTGAGGCTCTGAAAGAATGCTGTGATGGAGAGAGAGAGGGAGAGAGAGGGGGAGAGAGAGAATAAAATGAGGTAAATCCCATTTCACTGATTATTTCAATGGGGAACATTATTTTAGTATTTTTTTTATATTTAATAGAGCTAGATATTCCCAAAACATCTGAAATAAATGGTTATTTCAGAAGTCTGTAAATGACTAGTTTATGACTCACCACAAGATGGCGACAGTTATCTAACAATATATCTCTCTTCCAGTTCCCGGAGATGAATGACATGCTGAGAGAAAAGGTCACTGGCAGAAAGACCGACTTCACCTTCTTCATGATTCAGAACGCAGGGATGCTAACTGGGTTCACAGCCATCCTGCTCATTACTTTATATGCAGGAGAAATTGAATTGGGATAAGGGGAGATGAAAGATGGTGCTGTTAATGAAGGCATGTAACAAATAAAAACATCTCCAGAGGGATTTTAAGTTTATCCTATTTAGTTCAAAAATGATTTTTTTTCAACTGTAGGTCAAGAAAACTAGTTATTTCTTTCAGATCTGTGAGATAGGCCATTATTATTTGTTATTGGAAATGTTTCAAAAGATTACAGTTCCAGCCTGAAAAGCCTTGTATGCAAGATCTTTGGTAAATACCCACTTTTTCATGTACATACAGGATAGAAAATCATCTCAAAGCAAGAAACATGTAGCGTACAGTCACTTACACACCAAAACCCAACGGAGAATGCAAGCTAGGTGGTAGAAGCTTTTAAACCTCTGAGTAGGATCAAGAGTTCAAGAAATTTCAGATGGTTTTCTTTTAAATTAATTTGTACAAGCAAGCACATAAAAATGTGGAAGGATATCAGAACATATACAACACAGACACAAATGCTTCCAAGGCCTTCATGAACCCAGGAATGAAGTATTGCTCACGGCTTTTGTTGTGTCATGCTTTAGTGAGGCATTCATAGGATTGTTTTGAAAATCATCCAATATAAATTATGAAATCAATAAAGCTTTACTAGCCTTAGTAAATTTAGACTGGATCTGATACTTTTCTCTAAGTGTAAACTTGCCCAGATTTCACAAAAAGTAGGAGCTGCTTTGTATTGCTTAGGTTGTGGTTGCACCAAACAAAAAGTCTGCAAAGCTGCTAACTGGTGGCTCAGTTTTCATGTATTATGTCCTGGTTTTAAGAAAAAAAAGTTGAATGTAATTTTAAGTAATTTTCTTTTAAAGATGAACACAATTGTTTAGCAAAGGATATTTTAGATAAATGCACAACAACAGCTGGACTGCTGTATGTCGAGAACTGATTATCTGGAAACGAATGTTCCTTATGGGATTGAGATCATTCAGAAAAGACTTCTTTTGCGTTCAGTCTACATTTTTCCTGTATGGTATATATTGGAAAAAAAATTCTGCACATCATGGTTATTTTTCTACCTTTTGTAAAAGATAGAGCTTGTTTTCTCATTTAGTAGGCATAGAAAGTTGGTCTGAAATTGACATCCTGATCCCAATTCACACTCCCAAGTCACTGAAGGAAAGATGATTTAGCAGTGAAGAAAATGATTTATAAAAGCCAATAATGACCTCAGGAATTGCATTTCCCCACAGAGTGTAAAATGGTGTCTCACAGCAATAATGCAGGTCTGATGGGTGTTTAACATGTATGTGAATGTATGTTTCACTTTATGACTGACAATTAAAAAATATTGTTTGACCAAATAGTAAATATCTTTGGAACCATGTATTGTGTCACTCATTATGAATTTTAGTATGTGTGTTTTTTTTTTTGAGTGACTTTCATATACTGCGTATTATGGGAGAGATATGTGACTTGTTCCTTTCAAGGACATTTAACAAATAAAAATGATAAATATTAGTAACTGTTTATTCAAACCAGAAGCATAGAATCCATTTTTATCACGTCATCTGTTTACAAAATTTTAAGAAATAATCTTACCTTTTAAAAACACAGATTGTATGTCTGGGTTAAGAAACTATTTACAACATGATATTAATTTGATATAGATCATTGTGTAAATGGATTGTCTGGGTGCTTCACGTATTTCCTCCATGTGTTAACCTTCTGGCCATTTTCCTTAACTATGAGTTGAACACAGGCAATACAGCATGAAGGGACAAAAAAAAAAAAAAAAAATTGAGCCGAAACCGGTTTGGCTCAGTGGTACAGCGTCGGTCTGCGGACTGAGAGGTCCTGGGTTCGATTCCAGTCAAGGGCATGTACCTTGGTTGCGGGCATATCCCTGTGGGGGGTGTGCAAGAGGCAACTGGTCGATGTTTCTCTCTCATCGACGTTTCTAGCTCTCTATCTCTCTCCCTTCCTCTCTGTAAAAAATCAATAAAATATATTTTAAAAAAAATTGATACTTATTGGAGACTATGTGTGTTGTCTTCAATAGGTAGGAAACCGATAGCCATGATTAAATTTATATTATCCTAGATAACTATTTGACAAAGTATAACCCAATCAGTCAACATATCATATACTGAAGCATTCAGTTGAACATTGTCTAATCTTTAGACTTTAATGCGATGACAAACTAAAAATGATTCCAGTGCATTATATATTGGGTAACATACTTTTAGTTTTGTATTATTAAATTTTTAAAAATGCCCAGAAATCGCTGGCATTTTTTTGAGTATTGTATCATATCCTATCTTAGCCTGTTCAGGCTGCTATACAAAAATACCAGACTGAGTAGCTTATAAACAACAGATATTCATTTCTCACAGCTGTGAAGGGTGGAAGTTCAAGATCAAGGCACCAGCACATTTGGTGTCTGGTGAGAGCCTGTTTTCTGATTCATAGATGGTGCCTTTTCATTGTATCCTCATGTGGAAGGGGCAAGAGATCTCTCTGGAACCTTCTAAGAGCACCAATCCTACTCATGAGGGCACCACCTAATTACTTAAGCACTTCCCAAAGCCTCCACCTAATACCATCATCTTTGGGGTTAGGATTCAACCTATGGATGAGGGGGGAACACAAACATTCATAACGAAGAAGACCCCTTATTACCTGAAGAATTGGAGATCCACACCAGGCTATTCTCATGCTCACAGGTTTGTGGATTGGAGATCAGCTGACCTAGCTTGGGCTATTGCTGGGTGGCTCCTCTCGGTTTCAGGCTGGGGTCTGCTAGGCGAGGCTGCTGTAAAAAGAGATGCAAAGTCATGTGGCAAAGGGCATAGGTGCATAATTCTAGTAGAGGGGGAGAGTGAGAACAAAAGGATTCAATCTACCTTACCTGGCTTCTATAGGCTCTTGAGTATTTCATTTTACCCTGTTGAAAATATATAATATCAATAACTCATTAGAAGCTTCCAGAACCACTTCTTTGTTCCAATGAAAATATTTATCCAGATTCCCTTTTATTAGAACGTTATTTCCTTTCCTTCACCAGCATAAGTTATGTGTGGATAGTTGGCATAGGTATTTTAACAGGGCTAATTACTGATTGGAGGTGTCTTCCGTTGGGCCTTTCTTTGATGTTTATCAGTAGGCTATCATGATTTCCAGATGCTTTGTTTGGTTAAGGTCCATTACAGTGCGAGAGATTCTTAACCCAATAATACATAAGTTCCCTGACACTGATGTTGCTATAGCTACTATCTCACTGGCATGCTGCCTTCCCCCAGCTGTGGGTGGCAACACCTGTGTTAGATCACATTTTCCTTAGCTTCCTTCCTGGGCTGAGTATGCACAAAGCATCCTCTCATGGTCATAGAACTTCATCTACTGGAGGCCCCCAACTTTTACATGTCTCATAATCAGTGATGTTACTAGTAACATTTCAGGGAAACTAAGGCGACACGATAAACCGAAAACTCCAAATACCTGCTCTATTCATTCCAAGACAGGCATTTCCCCCAGGTTTTAACATTTCCAAGCCACATATTACAATCACTAGCAACCAGGTGGCATTGTTGAGGTTGCTATAGTTGTGTGAAAACGAAAAGAATTTGTTGGAATCTGGGAAGGCCAAGAAAATGCCAGGATCGCTGTGTTTGGGGTTTGATGGTGTGTAATAGCAGGCACTTAAACATGTCAGGTTTACTTTCCTTCCTTGGAGGAAGTGTGGCAGAAACAGTGCAGGGCTGGAGGCACTGGAACCCAGGCTCCTTTGATCTGTCACCTAGGGCTTCTGTCTTCAAGATTGCTTCATGTTCTAAGATGTTTGCTGGAGGGATCCAGTGTATAAAAAACCAAAAAAAATCAGACCCAGCTCTTCACTCCTCTTAAAGGAGCTTTCTCAGAAATAATATACAGTATTTCTAGCTCTATTCACTGACCAGAATTAGTCACATGGTCATATCAATTTGCCAAAGGAGCTGGGACATGTTGCTTTGACTTGGATACACTGCACCAAAAAAATCAGGGTTCCGCTACTGAGAAGAAGCCAAGAATGGACATTGTGTAGACTAGTGGCCATCTCAGGTACAGACAGGTTTGTGCCTGGTTTACTTGGGGGAATTATTGTTCTAGATGGTCCTGGCATAGCCAGTTCAGAAAACTGCTTCTTCTTTTAGGAATTCTCATGACTTCTCTAAGAGTAATTCCATGTCACCTTGACCATTTTAATTACATTGGCCCCCATAACCAGCCTTACATACAAGTTGTACTCAGCTTTGTACTTTCTGTCTCAGCCTGTTGTGAGTACTATGTGTATTTTTAGACATCCTGTGGTTTCCAAAGAATGGTTTAAATTTTAAGAAAACAAATACAAAAACCCAAACCTCCTTTTTAATGGACTTTGATCTTTCTGTTTAAAATTCTTCATATGCAAAACTATAAAACTAGCAGCAAAAATTGGCAAAAAATTTTTTTAAAAAATTATTTACTAGAGGCCCGGTGCATGAAATTCATGCATTGGGGGATGGGGATAGGTGGTCTCTCAGCCTGGCCTGCACCCTCTCACAGTCTGGGAGGCCTTGGGGATGTCCTGCTGATGGCTTAAGCCTGCTCCTAAGCTGTCAGTTGGACATCCTTAGTGCTGCTGTGAAGGCAGGAGAGGCTCCTGACACTGCTGCTGTGCTTGCTGGCTGTGAACCCGGTTTCTGGCTGAGCGGTGCTCCCCTTGTGGGAGTGTACTGACCATCAGGGGGCAGCTCCTGCATTGAGCATCTGCCCCCTGGGGGTCAGTGCATGTCAGAGCAACTGGTTGTTCTACCAAACTTGCTCTTTGACATCCCCCAAGGGGTCCCAGATTGTGAGAGGGCTCAGGCCAGGCTGAGGGACCCCATCGGTAAATGATCACAGCTGGGGAGGGATGAAGGAGGTTGGCCAGTCAGGGAAGGACCATCGAAGGGATCCAGGGCTTGTCTGGCCCATCTCCTTCAGTCCTGATCAGCTGACCCCAGCAGCAAGCTAACCTATTGGTTGG